ACGTGCCGAGGCGAACCTGTTGATTCATTCCATCTGTAAATTTGAGAAACTCAGATCCAGAAGACAATTCTTCATAGGTATCTTGTGAATGCAGTGAATTAGTGAAGGAGCAGAGAGGGAGAGGGGTGGGGGGAAGGGAACCAGTCGCTCTGTCTCCAGTCGATGTTTTATCAGCTTGTTAGTTTGCTCCTGATACACAGCGGGTTCCATCCTAGTCAGCCCTCCTTGAGCCTGCTCTTCTGAAACAATGCTCATGTTGTTGTCCTTGTTGATAAAATGTAAAAGGTTTTCAGTGATTGGGCTTTATCCCATGTTTATTAAGATTGTGTCCACTTCTTCCAAAAAAGGTGAAAGCACTGCCAATAGATCCAGAGGTTATCAATGAAGGTCACTGAGCTGGTAGATTATGCTTTAATCAGCCATTTGTTTATCATGTCCAGCCTGGAGTGTGATGAAATTGGACCACTGAGAAATAACTTCATTTTTAATGTTCTTAGTGTTCATAAGAATATCGAAGTCCTTTTTCAGAATCTCAGATTTTTGCTTTGCCAAATCGTTGACAACTAAAGTCCCAATATTTGGCTGATCAGTGGTTAGAGAGAGTACTTTGTGTGTTAAATCAGATAGAGTGTCACCAGGAAAAGAAATCATTCTCGTTTTCTTGGCATTGCAAATGTGGCTGATTCCATTTACTGCCTCATCTCTAACAATAAGCACTTTTGCCATCCCTTTCGGTTTCCTGGTGGTCGCTTTGTCCTTTGGAGTTTTGTGGGGGTGGATGTGTTGGTCTTGCCTCATTGTTGATGTTTGAAGGCGAGGCTTCACTCAGAGGCTCAGGCTGAAATGCAGAAAATTTGTTTTTCAGTGGGAGTCAGAATGTTTTGAGGCTTGGGCTGGTCGCTTTGTCCTTGGGAGCGGGGTCGGTGGAGCCGTTTTAGTTCCAGCTGCTAGGTTACTTTTCTTTGGCGGAGCAGGTGTTGAAGTTGAAGGTGGGTTTCAACTTCAGCACATTTGAATTTGAAACTTCAGGTGTGATGAAGTTTCAACTCCACGCTGATTCGTCCAGGTGAGGGGTTCTCCCTGTTAGTCGTCTCATGGGATCTGCAGTGTAAGACTTTTGTTTCACCTTGAACGTTCCAGGGTAAGCTGCTTGGTGCTTACCCTCTGTTGATTTGAGGAAGAGTTGTTAAATTTCCACACGTAGCGTTTATCTCACCTCCAGCCATTGAATCTTCATTTCTATAGACTGAAGTCATTGTGTAATACTACTAAAGACCCTGGGTTTGGCCGGAGGCATTTTGCTCTGGTTTAACTAAAAGTAAGGCAAAAATAAAAGTAAGAAAATCCCACAGTCCTTAGGTTTTAAATAATCCAGTTATGATGTCGATAATGTAAATATAACTATAAAAACTGCCTTTAAAAATAACTCGCATGCAAAGTTATTAGTAAGAACAGGAGAGAGCAGGATTATCTCTTCCTCCTTTAGCTGTCAGAGCATACGTTTATGTTTGTGTGTGATATTGATTATGCTATAATCAATGCAGGAGAAGTTTTCTGGGTGAGTTTTGCAGCTGTGGTCTGAACCACTTAGTGGTGAGAATATACAAGGTACAAAGTAAGCAATAACAAATGCCGTAATTGGCTCTACAACAACTAGAATACATCATACCTTCCAAGTTGGTCAATCTGGCTGTGCTGGAAAATCCTGCAGGTTCTTGTAAGCTTGGCTTAGTAAGATAATTGGAAAATGACAAGTCTGAAGTCACCCCTGGAGGTGCTGAAAAACTTGATGTCATCTTTAAATTCTAAGCCAAAGCTAAATTTTTCCTGCAAAACAAAATAAGTAATCATAAACAACAAGTAACTGTGAAGGTGTTTGTTCCTTTTGCATATCATATTGTTATACCAGGTGGCTAATTGTATTACAGTGCATATTTAAACCTCTCTGTTAAATCTGGCTTCCTAACAAGAATGGATGTAGCTCTTTCATAAATCTCATCACGCCAAGGCAGAAAGTTTTCTGCAGGTACAGAGTCAAGTCATAAAATTGACAGGTAGCTCCTCAAGGACATCATTAAGTCCAACAATGGTTTGTCTGTGATGCCCCCCAACTCACACAAACCACTTTGTGTGAGTACACAATCTAAAAATGTGTACTCAAGCCGTATCGCACATCAGATCATTAGCCGCCATGAATTCATCACAAAGCTGTGTTGCCAATCAGGAACAGAATTTTCTATTGGTGCAAATGAGTCGGAACATAGTGAACATCAGAAGAAAATGAAGCTGCTGAGTCAAGGTAGATAGCTTTGCTATGCATTGGCAAGAATCTAAGCATTCCCAAATGCGTCCCTTATTCTGGCATTAAATCGTTCCTAAAAAGGTTGTACCTGGCAGTCAAGGCGATTAAGCACTCCCCTGATGGAGGAGGCAATAGTGAGCAATGCCACTGACATATTATTTATAGCTTTCTGTAACTTTCCCGTTTGCCACAAACAGTTCCACTTTTCTTTCTGGTGCAAAAAAAGAAACTAATTCACTTTTTTTTTCTTCTGTTACCTTTTACTCCTGCTCAGTTTTTTTATCCTCAGAATGTAGCCATAAATGTCAAGCCCCTGGCTCTGTCTGAGTTGCTTTTAGATTGATGGTATGTTTGCAGGTAGTGGCCCATAAAGGTTATGGACCTTGAGATCTGCCAGTGCTTCCCACATACTCCAGAAGTGCGCAGTAGCTTAATTTTAGATATTCCTACATAAAGGTTTTATGCATTGTAAATGAAGCTAAGCTTTAACTACTAAAATACGTCTCATCCTGACGAATACTAAATTAGAGATCCATTCTATTGTGCAGAAGCCCTAGATGAAGGTGAGTTTTGTTCTTATTTAACTCTTTGCTAATACAGTAAAGATATCTTAGTTTTGAAAAACAGTAGGTAATAAGAACAACAATATTCAAAGATTTTCTTTTTTCCTTTTCTAAGGATCCTAAAATGTAAATTAAAGGCTGTTTAACACATACAATGCGAGATCACAAATCCTGTACTTTACACAAGCGACTTTGCTACTCTGTAATGAGATGCCAAGTCTCAAATTTCTTGTAAAAACTATTTGTTTTAATTATTGTATTCCACATGAAACACTTGGTGACTTATAGTGTAGACTTTAGTGCTTCTAAAACTCTGCATCTTTGATTAAAGGTGAGGAAGGCGTTCATTACACTGGCGACAACTATAAATATTGTTGAAAGAGGTGGATATCTTCTTATTTATTTAATCACATGTTTAGAAAAACTATAATCTTTTTGTGTTTTAAAGAGTCCCTGTTATGTAGAATAACTCCCTTAGTGCCACGACTGTGAGTGACAGGTGTAAGAATTTGCAGATTTATTTTATTATGCTTTTGAGTCACAACTAAATATTTCAGATTGCATGTAACAAATCTAAATATTGCTCAAAGGTGACCTGAGTAAACAAACAAACAAAAAAAAGCATTTACATAAGATGATTCCATTTAATAGGGGGGGGGAATATCTAAACCAACCAGATTTTTTGTGAACAGGTGGTTACTTCCTTGTTAAATTATTTAAGAACAGTAATTAACTACATTTTTAGCTTCTATTGTACGAGTCACGCCCAAGCTTGATAACGGACAGGCCTGTAGAGTCAAGAAATGATTAAAACATAAGCTCTCTAACAATGTAAAGTCTCTTAAACATGTTTTAAATAAGAAAAGCCTTATATAGAGAGCTATTCAAGAACAAACGAGATGGTGACATCTATCAGTGTGAAAAGGCTTGCAAGGTCTGAGACTTTGAGCTTCCACAGTTGAAGACAACCTGATGAACTTTCAGGAGTGGTCGGCTTGCAGAAATGTCCTTGAAAAATTACAACATCTAAAACATTGCTGGCCTTACTTGTCCAGGTGAGGTTGATGTTCATGATTCAACAATAATGAAGAGAATGGAGGAAACTTACATCCATCTGATAGTTCTGAGCACGTCAGGGGGTGACATCTTTTTTACAAGGCATCTGGTTTTCTTCTCTTAAAGGGGCGAATTATATAAAATCAAGTTTTATACTATGTTATAATGTTATTCCCTAATGAGAAACCTACATAAAGTGTTGCTTTGATTCTTTCATGCATCCTTTAATCTCCCATGGCAGGCATTTGTGGGTGTCTAAACGCTTGCTCTTTCAAAGCGGCGGCACCACATATTTACCCAAAGCTCCGCCTTGACACTTAAGCTCCCAGCAGAGCTTCTGCTAACAGAGCACTCCTCCCTTGCGCCCCCCAAACCACACTCAGCTCGACCAGCGAAGCAGCAGTAACCCTGAGCAAACACCTACTGAAGCTTTGCATCTACTGAGATCATCAAATAAACTACGTTTTGGTCCAACTCTCCAAAGAATGACAGTAAACTGGATCATGAAGAAGCATTGTTGGGATGACATGCTGAAGGCCGAGTGTCAGAAAGAGAGGGAGCTTTTTAAAAAGGCCGGTTTCAATGTGTTACATGGGAAAGTCAAATTTCTTTTAAGTCGTATTTGATGCACAACATTTTTCATAACAACTGAAGGTAACACAGTTACCTGGTTGTACCATAAAATAGAACTATGTGCCTGAAAAATACATAATAACCCGATGGCCCATCTTTAAGAAATGAACTGTATTAACATTTGGAAACTACTTGTTATTATTCTGGTCATGCTTAGTCTGATATAAAAATTTGTTTGATTATCTGAAACACTGAAGTATTACAAAAAAGCAAAAGAATTTGTAACGGATAAATACTTTTCCACATAATTAATTATGCTGCTTGCATTTTTTAAAATTTAATTAGAAATAAACATTGCCCTCAACTTCTTTGATTTGACTTGATTATAATAAGAGCATTTATGTGGATATCCCCTTAAAATGTCATGTTCTGAAAGAACTTGATGTGACTGCTGATTTGTTTTTGTCTCACATTACTGCTGCTCACGCAGCTAATCTTCATCCCTATCATTCATGATCTAAAGAGAGTTGCTTTTTGTTTCCCCTTATTTGTCAGTCAGGTATAATTTAAATAATCAAATCAAGCATTAAGCGCATCTTCACCGTCTCACACAGTGATCCGAGGAGAGGATCAATCGTGGTATTTCTTCCGGGTTGAGGAAATCAAGGGAGGGATGAGCAGAGATGCTGCTAGTGTTTGCTCTGCACACCAGCAGCCAGCCGGGCTTCTCTCTCCCAGTCAGACAGACAGCGGCAGAGGCAGCACGTCCACACGGGAGAGAGACAGCAGCGCTCACGGCGCAGCACAGGCACTGAAGACTGAATCGGCACTCGCATTCCCAGCCTCCTCAAATGGATTTAATTATGCTGTAGCGATTTTTGAGTCTGGACTGCGTCCCTTTAGATCAGAAAAAAAAAAAAAAAAAAAAAGAGCCGCGCGCAGAGCGGCTGGATTTTTAGGTGCCTGGTTCGTCTCGACCGCTCTGAGGGAGCCGCTCTCCCCACATCGTTAGCTCGCTAAGCTAGCTAGCCCGCTAACTTAGCGGCGATACTTTGTGTCGTATCAACGTCAGTTTTCTGCCTCGGAGCTAGCCTGCGGTCTTTTGCGCCACGGCGGCAGCTTGACGTGACCCGTCACCGCAGGTAAGCGAACAAAAGCGCGTGGAAACACGTTCTTTATGCTTGTTGTTGTTGTTGTTTTTGGAGCCCCGTGTTCCGCCGCTGGGCTCCGCCGCTGGCCAGCGAGGTTCTAACGGCATCCAGGAGCAGCAGCGGCGGAGCGGAGCTCCGAGCTGAAAGCGTTATGTTGACAGAAGCAGCCGAGCAACGGGGATGTGATGCGACTCGCCGTTTAACACGCTGATTCTCACCTCACCACTCGCATTGTGTCGCCACACTTGCTTTTCCTGCGAACACACCTTTAAATACTTTTCACGGACTGCAGGATTTTGCAGAAAACCGTCATTTTGAAGACTTCTCATCAAGATGTGGCGTTTCGTGTTCAACCTTGAGTGCTGATTTGCGGTGAATGGGCCACTGTCAGGTTAAAAAAAATAAAAAAAATCGCACATTTGCCGCATTTCGCTGCAGTAACTTTTAGTAAGGGTTGATTCTGATGACTGCCAGGTAGCTGCTGCCCTACCCCGTCTGCATGCGTATGAATAGGAGCAGAAAAGGAAGGAGTACATGCACAAAGTTGATCGTCATGCTTTCACAATGCAGAATGTGTGTGTGTGCACTCTTCCTGGTGGTCGTTTCCTATTTTCCCTCCCCCTGAAACATTAGAGCTGAAGTGTTGCATTACAGGTTGGGAGGATGAGCCCTAAACCAGAGTTTGACCTCTTGTTTGGGGCTCTGCTGATTTGCCATAGAGGTCAGATCAGCTATGGCATAAAAAGGGGGAAAAGGGTGATCAGAATGTTCAGCTTTATCACATTTAATAGGGTATGAATAAATTGCAGAACCTTTTATTGGAGTTGATTTGGGTGGTTAGAGGTTGACATGTCAGGGAATGTGTGTAATGAAGGGTTGTGCTCCAGCGAGCATGCATTAACAATGCTGTAATTATCTCAAGAGATAAGAAAATGGATTTGCCATCTAGCCAAGAAGAGTCACGGATGCAGAGCAGAGGATGAAGATGTATGATTGACAGGAAACAAATTAATTTTGCTCTCACATGTCTCTTAAGAAGAGAGGAACAGTTGAGCTTATATATTTTTATCCCCTGTGGCAGAGGCTCTCACACTTACTGTGTAAAAATCTAGGTCTGATTGGAGGTCTGGAACAACGATTAATGAGCAAATTTCTTGAACTGACTTTGTTTGCAGCTTACAATCACATTAAATGACATTTTATTCTTTCAAATGTTTTTTTTTTTTTTGCGATTCTAAGCCTCTCTTTTTGTGACAATAAAGCATGATGAGCGTTATAATTTAATTAAATGCAGTTTAACTCAAAGCAAACTTATTTTTAATTCTGAGTTTGATCAATTTAACATTCTGCCAGTTTTTTGACAGAAGTGGTTGTTTTGAATACAACAGAAAGTCAAAGAATCACACGTTTGTCCCCATTTATTAAAATCACTAACATTTTATCTGTTATATTTACTTTTATTAAAGTCAGCAAAATCCATAATAGTATCTGTTGTTATTTCACATATTTATGGACAAATAATTATGGGGCTTTTTGCTTTTGATTCAATAAATATGATAAAAAAGAAAAGTCAGTGTGTCCCCTGCCGATCAGAGGCTATGATCATGATTGATTGGTGCCTTTCTAGTGTAAACATAAACTTAATCAATGTAATTACCTTTCATCCCTCAAGAATAAACAGAATAAATAAGTTAGCGCAACAAGACTCAGAGAAATCAAAAGAACCTTTGTAATATTTAGGTACCCAGAGGCAGTGATGATACATGGTTACCAAGTGTGAAAATTGTCTCTTTCTCCCTTTTATGAGCTAAATGAAACTGATAGGAAAAATAACTCATATGTTTTGGGATTCTTAAAAATCAGTCTGATAATTATTTCTCAATGTTTTTAATAACAACAAAAGTTGGATGCATGTCTAAGTTGGGAAACAATCATTTTTATACGCTTAAAAACATTTCAGATGTGGAATTAAAGCTCTCAAGAAATCAGAATGATATGTTCTGCAATTATACTGCAGTCAACCTTACTCACTCACAAGCCACAGTCATTTTTTTCTTTTTTCTGGCCAATTTTATATCTGGTGTTTTGTCTCTCAGTATAATGCTAGGGTAAATTTGTTTTTAGCAGCTGCTATATCTCCCTTACCAACCTCCTCCTAAAGCAGATGTAACTTCATCCTTTAAGAGCTGCTTGACTCACCACATACAGCTACAAAAATCCTGAGTGAATTCCTCTCTGTTCTGCTGAGGATCTTTAAACGAGGTGTTGTGAGGTTTATATTAGCTTGTTTAATCAAATTATTCCCAAACCAACAACTAGTTTCTTCTGCCCAACATCTACTGCTTTACCTTCGAAACACCTTAGTTGTAGTTTGTTCACCCTATACCAACATATGGCGCTAGTAAATATATCACAGTCATAGTCTAAATAATTAGTTAACATTTCTTTGCAGTCCAAGCACTTCATTGCAAAATTTGTGTTGTTTACAGCGGTTTTGCAGCATATTGTGCCGAAAGGAAATGTTTTTACGCATTTTGTCTGAACCGAATGTGTGAGAGGTGAAGCTGAACAACATGGCAACAAACTTAACTGGACCAAATGAATGCTTTTGACCTGACTGTGTCAAAATATCGCCTCAGGGCTCCACAACTGAGCTCAGTATTGTGGTAAAACATGACTGTCAGGCATTGAAAGGAAATGAATCATGTTCCTCATTTCAAGGCCGTCGAAGTCGGTAGATGTGTTTCCTGGCCTTTTTGTTAACCCTGCGGCCAGGACGCAGCACATGTGCAGAGCTTGTATGTCCAGATGTTCAATGACTGATTTAAGCTTTCAGAATAATGACGTTTTTTTTTTTTTCTTTCTTCAGAGGGGTTGGGTAAATGAAGGTGTCAAACATACAGGATGTGAAAGTCTGGCAGTTTGTCAGATGTGGTTTGTAGCTCATGCAGCAAGACTACTTGTGTTTTCACATTTGCATTGATTGCGCAAAGACAATACTGGTAGTTCAGAATTATTATCTTTTCATTTTCAACAAATGATTTCATTTAACATTGTGGAGCATGACATTGAGATGTGTATGTTCTCATACTTTCACCTAGTTTCAGTTTGTCATGTAATGGATGACAATCTTTAATATCTACTCAGTTTAACATTGAGCATGTCTTTGGTCCTCCTATTGCGCTGAGGTGGCTTTGAAACAATAGCTCTATTCTGGCCCATGCAGCAGCATTCGGCGCTCTCGGGACTCTGTGTGCCAGGAGGCTTGGTTAAGGATTCGGTTTCCACAGCCACCTGGAGCTCCGAGCACAGGAATGCCATTGTTCCTCCATCCAGACTACGGCCAGATTAAACGCACATGCAAACAGACACATGCATCAGGACCTCATACCAAAACTTAGGTCACCCGTCTTTGTTACAATGCCATCCCTCACAGCAGCTATAATCGGATAAACATTGCTGGAAAAGATACAGAGACTTGATGTAAAGCTTTCCCTTCTAATTCTGTCCCAAAAAGCAATATTTTGTTATCTTTGGGTGGCACAATTTTATTCTATAATTTTATGTAGCATTAGAGCCCTTTTTGACAGTTGACAGGCAGGAAGTAAGGCAAAGAGAGAAGAGGAAGACATTTGCTCAATAGCCTGGCCTGGGAATGCAACCAGTTACAGCTGCGTTCAGCATGTTTTGGATCTGCTGAACACAACTTTCAAGGTGGTACTTTTTAATAACACTCATTTTCCCTTTTAAAATGCTCATTCAACCATTCATAAAGTAGCAAAATGTGAAGAAGTACTCTCTGTTCTCTAGCATGTTTATTGTGATGGATTTCTGAACATAAAAGTCAAAGAACTTTTATGTTCTTTGTGAAAAGAATAAAAACTGTTCAATTGACATAACCACATCAAATTAACATAGTAAATGAATGTGTTTGTTAAATTCCATGTGAGTATGGACACTTTATTAGGTACACTTTGTGACTATTGACTGTCCAGTTCTAACTGGACACCCAATTAATATTGGAACATAGATTCAGAAAGTTGCCACAATAATTTCTGAGAGATTTTGGTCTGTATTGAAATGACAGCAGATTTGCCTGATCCATATTAATGGCATGAATTTCCACCAATTCCCATAGCTGCTCTCGCGGCTTAGGACCTGGTGACTGCGGAGGCAGCTGGAGCACAGTGAAATCATTACCACACTCAGGAAGTCAATTTGGGAGAATTTCGCTTTGTGACATGGGAAGTCATCCTGCTCGATGTCGTCATTAAACGGATCATGCACTGTAGTCATAAAGGGATGGTTTGTGGACAGCAGTAATACGCTAGCAGACTGTGGCGTATAAACAATGCTCAACTGGTACTAAGGGCCTGCCCTTTGAATGTTCCTGATTAAAATAAACACATTAGATCATGAAGTATTTATTGAATCCTTAAAGCCAAGTTTTGGTGAGTCTGTTTTAAGTAAATTTAGTTTCCTCTTTCTCACACCCGGTGTAGTCTTACTGTAGCCCATCTGTTTCAAGATTCAAAGTGTTTTATATTTAATGAAGGTCTTCCACATACAGCAGCTTGGTTGTAAAAAGAGGTTATTTGATCTGCTGTTGTCTTTCCATCTGACCAGACAGTCAAGATATTCTCATTAGATGTCAAGAAGTTGTTTTTGTCCTCACAACTGCTGATAATTGGAGATCATCTCTTATTCGGACCATTCTGACTCTGACTGTGCCTGAAATACTAAGCTTTGTTTGTCTAGCACCTACCATGCCGCATTTAAAATGATTTAGATTTCCTTTTTCCTTAGTTCTAATACTCGGTTTGAAGTTAAACCACATTACCACTTTGAGACGCTTAAATGAGTTAAGCGGTTATGTGATTTGCTATTTCCATTAATTAAACAAGTGTAGTTAATAAAATGGCCGGTCAATGTACACAAAATAGTGATTTTGGGTTTTTTAAAAATCTAATTGTATGTTAATTAGTCAGGTG